CAGAGCCTAGCTTAAGTTGAGGTCAGTGGGGGGAGGAATTATAGAGCAGTAAGGGAGCACTCTGAGGGGTTTGCGATTTGCATAGTAGTCAGGAGTGATTAAGATTGAAAGCAAAGAAGACACTTTCCTGCTGTACCTTCTGAATGAAGCTCAGAGGGCAAACGTCCAGAGGCTGACCTCTGCCCCAGTCACATTGGCAGAATGCAGCCCGTCTGTGGGTGAGCCCAGGTGCAGTCACCCACCCCAGGTGTTCTTGGCTTTTTGTGGGCCTGGGACGGACCTATACACATTTATGGCTGTCGAATAAATAATAGGCGGTGGTGAAATCTGTCAGAGGGGGAAGGGGGGAGGGCTGATTTTGTCCAGGAATTTAGAGATTTATTTAACATATTGAGTTTGAAGTGGTAACAGGATATTAAACAGTAATGCCCAGAAGGCGACCATAGTACCTGAAGTTTGGAGGAGAGCATTAGGCGTCAACAGTAGAGACCACACCTGACCCACTGGAGTTAAATGAGATCGCTCAAGGAGAGATTGTGGAGTGACTAGAAAAGGAGGTTGAGAAGAGAACCAACTAGGTGGACAGAGTAGAAAATGGTGAAGAAAGTTAAGAAGATGGAAGCACAGGAGGAGTGAGCCAGGATTGTTCCATGCCCCACAAGCTAAGGGAAGAGAAACTCTTATGAAGGAAGGTAGCGTGTATTAGATGGTTATTGTTGTGGTAAACCAACTAACCTAAAAGGCATGACTTACAACAAAAAAGACTTATTCTCAGGAGTTTGTGGTCAGCTGGGGCTGCTGTGCTCCAGGCTGCAGCTGGTAGATTGGCCAGGCAGCTCTGCTCCACGTCATTCCTTTTACTGGACCAATAGGCTTTGTCGGGCATATTTTTCTCATGGTGACACCAGAAAGGCAAAAGACTAAGGCCAACCATGCATGTATTTCAGGCCTCTGCGTGTTGCTTGTCTCTCCCATTAACTAAATCAAGTCATATGGCTGAGCCCAAAGTCAAGGGTCAGGGAAGTACACTCTACCTGTAGTGGGAGGAACTGCAAAGTTACATGGAAGGTGAAGAGTTGGGAAAAATAATGTGACGAACTACATATAGGTAGTCAATTCCCTAATATTTTGTGAAGATTTGGGATGAGGGGATGAAAGGAGGCCCATTCCCTCTCTCTCTCTCTGTTACCTGGCTCCATTCAGCACTTGGGAGCAAACTGTGGCAAGTCATTGAAAGAGATCAGGTAAACTATGGCTGGAAAGTGCCTCTGGGCTTGGCAATTAGAAAGTTTAAGATCACCTGTGAAAAGCTGTTCCCCAGGAGTGGTCTGTGTCAAGACACTAGGAACAAGTTCTAGGTTAAGAGAAAAAGTGAGTATAAAATGCATTTCCAAGTAATGAAGGGAATGAAAGGAACTGACAAAACTCAGAGAAGCAAAGTTGGGGGGAGAGATTTTTAAATTTTTTAAATGTTTTTTTTCCAGCTTTATTGAGATATAATTGACATATAACATTGCATAAGTTTAAGGTATACAAACTGAAGATCTGGTTCATTTATATATTACAAAACAATTACATTACATCATGTATTTATTATTTCTTTGTGGAGAGAACACGTGAGATCTACTCTCTCTTAGCAACTTCCAAGTATATAGTACAGTATGATTAGTTAAAACTACCATGTTGTACATCCCCAGAACTTACAACTGGGAGTTTGTACCCTTTAACCCATATCTCTCCATTTTTCCTGTCCCACAGTCCCCTGGTAACTCTACTGTTTTTGTGAGTTTGGCCTTTTTAGATTCCATCAGAAGTGATACCGTATGTTATGTCATTCTCTGTCTGACTTATTTCACTTAGCATAGTGCCCTCAAGTTTAATAATGTTGTTGCAAATGCCAGGATTTCCTTCTTCTTCCTGGCTTAATTCTATCTATCTATCTATCTATCTATCTATCTATCTATCTATCTATCTATCTATCTATCTATCTATCTATGTATCATCTATCTATCTATCTATCTATCTATGTATCATCTATCTATCTATCATCTATCTATGTACCTAGAAAAGACTAGGACTGTAAGAGGGAAGAAAGCTAACTGTGGGAAATTTTCCCAGGGGAGAGGTTGACTTTGGAAAGTGACAGGGATCCCCATCCATCTTACAGAGCAGATGAAAAAGAATTGGATGAAAAGACGGTGAAGGGGAGGGAAAGTAGGGTTTTAACAACAGATGGTGGTCCTTCCAATGCGAAGGTATCTTCTAGGAGTGAGAAGGATGGGAGCAGGGCAGGGATCATCAGTAGAGAGCAAAGGGCTTTAAGTGGGTGCTGTGGGAAGAAATAGAAGTCAGAGAATGAATGGGTCAGCCACCCTCAAGGCCCGAAGGATACTGGGCAACACTAATGTGCCATGATGCCAGTTTTCATGGTCATGGTTTTCTTTCTCCATTACAGTAGAAGGGGGAGAAATGGGCAAAGTAGGTGTGGCGATGATCACAATGTAAAAGGAAGCTGAAGAGTTAGAGAAAATTTAGTCAAATTAATGGCTCGTGGGAGTACACGCAGTGCACAGCAGTTAGCATTCCTTCTGCCAACAGTAGAATGATTAGCTTAACTAACACAATAAATGCAAAGGAGGGTATGGGTGGGACAGTGTAGCCCAATGAGCAGAAAATGGGCCTTTGGGTCAGATAGACCCGGATTTGAATATCAGCTTCATCATTTGCTAGCTGTGAGACTTGAGGTATTACCAATTCTCTCAATGGTCTTCTTTGTAAGATGAAATACATATTATCTACTGTGAAGGATTGTTGTAAGGATTTAATGATGCATGTAAAGTACTTTCTTTGCGTTTGTGCCTGGCACACAGAAAGTGCTCAACATACTAATTACTCATGCTGGAAATCAATCACAGGCCCCTGACTCTTAGGCTAGTGCCTTTTTTGACCGTTCCACATTGACCTTATATCCTCCATATTTAGAGGGCAGGCCATCTTCCCTGGAACTTCTCTACTGGAGTCATTCCAGACTCACACACATTTGGTGGTGAGCTGTGAGATCTCTGGCCTGTGGGGGCCCAAAAAACCACAAACAAAACCCCCAAACTGCTGAATGTATCAGAAGCTAGTTTAACCACTTCTACATATAGCTGGTCTCCACACTAGTCTGCTTCCTGAGATGGACAAGTTTTTTGTTGAGTAAGATGCTAAAATGGATACCTGAAGGGACTCTGCCATGTATTTAAAAAGATCTTCAGAAATAGGAAAGGCCCCATGCCCTCTGTGCCCCTCCCACATCCATGTGGAATTGTTTCAACATGAGTAATGAAATAAAATGAGGGCAGCCAGAGATCATCTAGACACAGACAGGCTGAGCAACTTGCTTACTTCCTGGCAAACCAGGACTTGTAGCCCATTCATTCTCCTCCCTACTGGTTTATGTTTAAAATTAATTTTTATTTAATACTGACTCTTTTTATTGAGAAAGTAATACACGCACAAGGGAAAGAATTCCAAAAGTATACACATGATTTAAAATTATTTTCCTCTTACTTCAGGCCCCTTGCTTCCAATCCCTCTTCTGGCTGCCACTACTGCGAACAGTCTCTGAGGGATCCTTACATAAATATCCTACGGATGTAATCTTTTATGTGCATGTAAGCACATAAATATTCTTTTAATAAAACAAATGATCGCGGAAAGGCAGAAAATTGTACTTGAACAACAATAAAAATGTTAAAAATTTAATGAAAACATACTGTACATACTATTTCATGCCTTGCTTTTTCACTTAATAGTAAAATTTGAAGGGCGTTTCCTATCTGATTATAGTCTTTTCTTGTTCTCTTCAACAGTTGCATAGTGATCCATGGTATGGCTGTAGTACAAATTATTTAGCCTCAACTTCTAGTTTAGTTCTTATATGACTTTTATTTTTCATTGTTGATGGCAGCACGATTCTCCTACTTACTCTGCTCCAAGCCTTGGAGTAATACCCAGAGTCCTCCTTCCCCATATCTAATTATTCATGCCCATTTGGCTTTTAAATGTATTTCCTATTGGTCCCTTCCTTTTAATTTTTATTGCCACTTCCCTGGTTTAGGCCTTAAAATTTTCTATAGCATTTCCCTTTCTGCAAATTTTCTATTTCTGTCTGCCTCGCACACTTGCTTTTGATCAAATTTCTTAATGCCAAGTAGCTTCAGTGAATTGCCATTTATTTTGTAAAAATTCAAGCACTGATCAATAAATATGATTTTTAAATTCTCATCTGGGGAGTTTATGAAATGCCGGTTTGTGGACCAGAATGTCCAGGTGTAGGAGGACCTGCAGTCTGCATTAAACAAGTTTCTAGGTGCTTCCGATACAGTTGGTCATTAGCTCAGTGGAGCCATTAGAATAAAGTGCAATTTCTCAGCCCGGCATTTCTCTCCGAGCACCACCTCTTACTGCTACTTCTCTACATAGTGCAAATACTTTTCTTGCTGGCTTTCTGAGGTCTCGTCATACCTTCCAGGCACACCTTTTAAACCTCGTGACCCAGTCTATGAATGCTTTGCACACACAAGTGATCTCTGGGCTTGATTCTCTGAACTACAGCTACATTCTTCTGCCTTATCTCTTCGTTTGGGTTTCTTTAGCTTTCTCTCTCCGCACTCCCAACCACAGAAACCTACTAAGTCCTTCCTTATTATTCGAACCTGAAAAGCATTTGAGCTTTGTGGCAAGGGTCTTAAACAAGAATGTAAGGATTAAATGTAGGATTAGGGGCACTGCTTGACTAGATCACTGTAGCATAGGCAGTCGTTACTTGTTCCTGGCTTGGAGTGCGGCTTTCTACACTTGTCTGTGGATTTGATGAATACGTGAGCAGAACCCTTCCTAACATCTCCCAGGGAACTACGAATCCCAGAGGCGGTCGCAGGGAACGTCGGCGGGCGCGGCGACGCAAGGGGGCGTGGCAAGGCCGCGGGAGGGGTCGGCCTGCGGGTGCTGGCGGCTGCGGGCTGGGGAGGCTCTGGAACCGGGGGTGGGAGTGGGAGCGAGAGGTGAGCGGAGCCGCCGAAGGAGGGGACGGGCTGCCGGGCGCCCCTGTCCATGGAGCGGGGCAAGATGGCGGAGGCGGAGAGCCTGGAGACTGCGGCGGAGCACGAGCGGATCCTGCGGGAGATCGAGAGCACCGACACGGCCTGCATCGGGCCCACGCTCAGGTATCCCGGGGCCGGGGCTACCCACCGGCGGGCACCAGCCGGACAGGGGGGCCGCTCCCTCGGGCGGTGCGTCCGGCCGGCTGCCCGCTGGGCCAGCGCGGGCCGCTCCCTGGGACAGCCGGGCGAGCGACCTCCGCCCTCGGCGAGGCGGTCACCCTCCGCAGCCCCGACGCGGGGTCCTTTCCCGGTCGCCGTCCCCCACAGCCCGGTCCCCCCGAAGGCAGCCCCGGCCGCGCTCCGGGCAGGGGCGGCTTTCGTCCTCCCGCGAGCGCGCCGGACCGACGGTGGCTTTTATCCGATCTTTCCCCGAGGACATCACCCTTGGCTCTGCCTCCGACTCCAGCCGCGTCCTGCCCTAAACATAAGCCCTGCTCTGCAGACAGCACAGGATTCTCCCCCGTGATCTGTTCACGGAAATTAAACCCTTGCGCCCTTAAAATCACAGCCACTTCTCAGAAATGAGTTCCTGGAAATCCTAGGCCTGGAAGGAAGTTTCCCTCAACCCGTGCCCCTCTCCTGGGAGCGGGTGCTGCCGGAACTCTGTCAGTAGGACGACCTCGCCCAAAGCTGCAGCTTTCTGGTGGTGTCACTGCCCAGAGCAGATTGTCCCTCTCAGCCCCGTTACCATTGCTTTGCCCCGACACCTCCATTTATTTGGAGATGTCAAAAGAACCCCCCACCTACTTCAATTTACTTAACAAAACTTAGGTATCATTTACTGTATAGTGAAAGACATTGTATCAAGCAGTTTACAAATGTAACTTACTCAAACCACGAACAATCCTGTTAGGTACTATTGTTACCTTCATTTTACAGACGAGGTACAAAGAGGTTAAGTGACTTGCCCCGAGGTTACTGAGAAAATGAAGTTGGGGAGTTGAAGTTCCTACTCAGGCAGTCTGAATCCGGAGTCTGTGTCCTGCACCGCTGCTGTTCTACCTCAGTTGGGATTACCGTCCACCTGTACTGGTTTTGTTAATTACTTTAAAAGCCCAATTCTGAGCTACCTTTCCCTTTGCCCTCAGTTTACTAGAGCCCTAGAACTAACTCATCTTCATCCTTCCTCTGGTACCCTCTTATTTCCGTGTAGCCAACAGATGAATAATTGTCTTACCCACAGTACACAGTCTTGGGTTACTGCTTCTTCCTTCAAAGAAGAGTTACAGTATTACTCACTGCTTTTTTTTTTTTTTTTTTTAAATGGGGAGAGTTGTCTCATGAAAGTGTTTGAAGGAGGGACAAGCTGGAGACTTTACTCCTACTCCACATCTCCACCTGCACAGCTTCCTTCTCCTGAGCACATTGTTAGCACAATGAGCTATATATCCTTGAACATGACAATGCGTAGTAGTTTGCTAGTGAATTATGGTCGTGACCATAATGATCCTCTCTTTATTCCTTGACTTGAGCTCTTTAGGGCAAAGGATCCTCATTCATTATCTTTTAGAAAAACCAAGGGCTACTTACTAGTATTATGAGTGCATTATTAATGGTTATTAATCTTTAGTTCTCATAAAACAAGATGTTATTAGGGTTACTGAGCATGCTATTTCAGTATTCTACTAAGAAATTTGGCTGCTGAACTGCAATTGGCAGGCAAGCCAAGTCTGCACTGGAGCAGTTAAGATTACCAGTTTTTAGGAGGAATTCTTTCTCGGACACCGTCAGTGTTGCCTTGAGTTGGTTGTGGTTTTCCATTGCTGTAGTTCTTGGCTTATAGAATAAATGGCTTTAATTTGGTTCTGTCCATTTAGTTTGTTGATTTATTATATTAACCCTCCACCAAATAGTAATGCCTATTTTTATCAACTGAATTTTGGCCTACAATTTTCAAGTATCTTAATATAAGAATATGTGGGAGATGGTTCGAATACAAGTTACTCATTCTTCCTAAAATTTGCTTCATTCACTGAGTTCTACTGAGTTCTTTTCTCACTGGAAAGTCGGGGTTTATGGGGGTAGTTTAATTGAGAGATCTTTTGCCCTAAATTGACATAGTAAAAAAAGGGGAGTGAGTTTTGAGAACCTCTGCGGGTCTTATCAGTTTTAGTTGCTTTTCCTGACTCCCTGCATCCTTGGCAGAGAACCCTAAACCTACTATCAGACCCAAGATCCAATCCCTTGAACATTCTAGAATGCAAGTAGCACCCACTGTCTTCGTCTGTAGTGTAGCATGTCCCTGCCCATAACCATCGCTGATGATCTCACCTTTTTTAAAATCCCATTCAGACAGCAGCTTGCACGGACTTGAAGTTTCAGATCCCATGCTTTGCCCTGGATGCACTGCCGTCATCATCATGTCCTGTTTTCCCATCACAACCACTAACCAGGTTTATTAAAGCAGTAGGCTCTCTTCCCTAACTTGACCCTTCACTGTAGACCTCAAACTCCTCTACTCCCCTTCATAGTCTTCCCTCTTTATTTCATCTTTCCAAGGCAGCATTTTTTGAGGCATCCAATTCTTAGCTGTTCCTGAGTTAGGTTTTGTAACTGAAGAGGAATGAAAGAACAGAGAGTAACAGTAAATTGATAGCAGATATAAGATTAGTATGTCCATCCTCCAAATTTTTGCTCTTCACAAAAATCCATCTGGCTACTTTTGCCTAACAAGACTCTTTCCTTTGCCAACTACTACTTGTAAATCATCACTTACTTTCTTTTCCTGGTGTACCAAATTATTCTTCTAGTCTTATTCTTTTTTGCTGAGGAGCCACCATGGCTTGACTTTTTAATTATGTAACTGTCCTTATTTTAATCTCAAACAATCATGCAATGTTAGTCAGCTCCCATACATCATAAGGGAGTGCCTCTCCTTTTCCATTGTGATTCTGAAAGGCCCAGGCAGATCTCGCATATAGAGGCTGTTGCCTAGCAAAATCTTTTGGGAAAGCAGCCATTTCTTTCTTCTCTGTCTTAAAAATTATTTTGTTAGTTGCAAGTCTTGATTTTTGCAGATGAGGAAAGAGGCCCATAAGATGTTAGGGACTGTCTTGTTTTCAAAGTATTAATATTGATTCTAGTTTATAGTACTAATGCTAAAATATTGATTGCAAATCACTGATACACAATACCTCCATGTTTCAGCTTTCAAATTCCATCTCTGTATTTTTAGTTGTCTCTCATATTGCTTATTCAGTAGGTCATTTCCTCAATTTCTCTCCAGATAATAGCAGTGAACATTCATTTTTAATTACTGTTTCAGATTTTCTTTTTAAACTTAAGAAAATTGTTGGAGTAACATCGGTTAATAACATTCTATCAATTTCAGATGTACAACATTATAATTTGATATCAGTACTATATTGTGTGCTTATTACCCAAAGTCTTGTTTCCTTTCATTATCATATAAACTGTTTAATTTAACATTGAAATACCATACCTTTTAAAATAGCTTTATTGAGATACAATTCATATACCATATAGTTCACCCATTTAAAGTGTCCAATTCAGTGGTTTTTAGTATGCTCAAAACGGTTGTGCAAAAATCACCATAATCTAATTCTGGAGCAGTTCCATCCGTCCAAAAAGAAGCCCTATACCCGTTAGCCATCACTTTTCATTCCGTCTCCCTTTTCTCCCCAGGCAATCACTGTTCTTGCTGTATTTATGGGTTCACATATTCTGGACTTTTGTATAAATGGAATCATACAGTTTGTGTTTCTTTGTGACCGAGCATAATGTTTTCAGGGTTCATTTGTGTGGTAGATTGTATCAATACTTCATTTCTTTTCATTGCTGAGTAAGTGTTCCATTGTGTGGATATCACACATTTATTCATCAGGTGATGGACGTTTCGGTCATTTCCACGTTGGGACTGTTAGGAACAATGCTATGAATAATTTGTGTACTAGTTTTTTGGTAGGCATATGTTTTCATTTCTCTGTCATGTATACCTAGGAGTGGAATTTCTAGATTAATGGGTAACTCTGTGTTTAACATTTTTGGAAACTGTCAAACTGTTTTTTAAAATGTCTGTATCATTTTACCTGCCAGCCAGCAATATATGAGGGTTCCAGTTTCTTCATATCCTTGTCAGCAGCTATTATTGTCTTTTTCATTTTAGCCATTGTAGATGTGATGTTGTATCTCACTATAGCTTTGATTTGCATTTCCCTAACGGCTAAACTTTTCATGTGATTTATTTGTTGTTTATCTTAGGAGAAATGTCTATTCAGATCCTTGGCTCAGTTTTTGATTGGGTTATTTGTCTTTTTATTATTGAGTGGTAAGTGTTCTTTATATGGTCAGTCTCTTACCAGATATGCAGTTTGCAAATACTTTTTTCTATTGTATGTGCTGTCTTTTTTCTTTCTTTTTTTCTTTTAATTTTTAATATGCCCTTAGATTCTAAATGATGGCTTTGTTGGGTAGGGCAATTTTGTTGGTCCCTGCTTTTCATGACTTTCAGTATTTCTCAGTCATCTTTTCTAGCCTGCAAAGTTTCTTTCGAAAAATCAGCTGATAGTCTCATGGGAACTCCTCTGTAGGTAACTGACTCCTTTTCTCTTGCTGTTTTTGAGATTCTCTCCTTATCTTTAATCTTTGGCATATTAATTATGATGTGCCTTAGAATGGGCCTCTTTGCATCCATCTTGTTTGGGACTCTTGTGCTTCCTAGACTTGCATGTCTAATTCCTTCACCAAATTAGGGAAGTTTTCTTTCATTCTTTTTTCAAGTAGATTTCCAATTTCTTGCTCTTTGTCTTCTCCTTCTGGCACCCCTATTGTGCAAATGTTGGAACACTTGAAATTGTTCTACAGGCTCATCACACTACCCTCGTGTTTTTTTTTTTTTTTTAGATTCTTTCTTCTCCTTCTCCTTTTCTTCTTCTTCTTCGTTGTTTTTTGCTTCCTTATGTTCCAAATCATTGATTTGATTCTTGGCTTTGTTCATCTACTGTTGTTTCTCCATACATTGTTTGTCGCAATTAATGTATCCTTCGTTTTTGACTGGATCTTTTTCATCCAGTTGTTGAGGTCCTCACTAAGTTCCTTGAGCA